GCCGTGCTTCCGCCCTTGCCCCTTCCCATCACTCACAGCTATGTAATTGGGTTCCCCTTATCCTCACTTTTCATTCCATCAGCCTCCACTTTCAAAGAATCATTTTCCGCCATTTCAGACAACTCCAGCAGAACACCACCACCAAACACATCTTCCCGTTACTCCCCATGTCTGCATTTCACAGGGACCATTCCCTCTGGGACACCCTAGACCATTCCTCAATGAACACCAACACCCCTTCCCCCTTCCCATGGCATCTTCCCATGTAACTGCAGAAGATGCAACACCTGCCCCTTCATCTCCTCCCTGTTCACTATCCAAGGGCCTAAACAGTCTTCACAGGTGAAGCAGCATTCTACCTGTACCTCCTCCAATCTGGTCTATTGCATTCTCTGCACCCAATGTGGCCTGCTCTGCATTGGAGAAACCAAACACAGCCTGGGTGACCGCTTTGCAGAACACCTCCAGTCGGTGCACAATCCTGTAGCCGGACATTTTAACACAGCGTCCTGCTCACATCCCCATGTGTCTATCCTCGTCATGCTGCAATGCTCTAGTGAATCACAGCGCAAACTGGAGGAACAACATCTCATTTACAGACTAGGTACTTCACAACCTTCTGGACATGTTATTGAGTTCAATACCTACGGATTGTGAACCCATTCCCATTCCTTTCTTTTAGTGTTAGGTGTTCTATTCTCCATCACCATGTCCTCTCTCCCCTTCCCCCACTCCAGTCGGACTGTCTGTTCTTTCCAGTCTGGCAGTTAGATGCACATTCTCACATTCTGATCACTTACTCTGCTCTATCAATATCCTTTCTCCCCGGGCACTCCACCAACCCCACTATTGCATAAATGGTGCACCCCCACCCCCCACACTTCATGTCAGCTCTGATTAAGAGTGATCTAGCCTCAAAATGTTAGTTTGCTCGCTCCATGGATGCTGCCTGACCCGCGGTGATCTCCAGCACTTTTTGTTTTCACTGACACTGACACTAAAGTTTCATGTTGCAAAAGTGAATTTAGGGTTCATTTGGGTTTCAGAGCAAGAGACAAAAACAGAAATTGCTGGAAGAACTCAGGTCCGGCAGCATCTGTAGAGAGAAATCAGAGTTAACGTTTTGGGTCTAATGACCCTTCCTCAGAAGTTTCAGAAGGGTTTTCAGAAGACCCTTCTTTTTTTCTGATTTCCAGCACCCACGGTTCTTTCGGTTTTGTCCGAAGTGCGAGTCCATTTAGCAGGGATTCACATGTACTTTGTGCTGGAGTTGCATTGTGTACTGCAGAAAGCACTCTTCATTGATATGAAAGCAATGTGCATTCAGCATGTGTGAATACAGAAAACAAGTTACAGAATGATTGTTCTGATTTTGTTCTTATGGAGTCATACAGGATGGAAACAGACGCTTCGGCCCAACCAGCCCATGCCAACCATAATCCCAAACTAAACTAGTCCCACCTGCCTGCACTTGGCCCATATCCCTCCAAACATTTCTTATTCATATACTTATCCAAATGTCTTTTAAATGTTGCACCTAACCCCATCCACCATTGAGGAGGTGATGGCCTAGTGGTATTATCGCTGGACTGTTAATCCAGAGATCCAAATAATGTTCTGGGGACCAGGGTTTGAATACCACCATGGCAGATGGTGAAATTTGAATTCAATAAATATCTGGAATTAAGGATCTAACAATGACTGTGAATCCATTGTCGATTGTTGGGAAAAACCCATCTGGTTCACTAATGTCTTTTAGGGAAGGAAATTGCCATCCTTACCTGGTCTGGCCTACGTGTGACTCCAGACCCACAGCAATGTGGTTGACTCTTAACTGTCCTCTGGGCAATTAGGGATGAGCAATAAACGCTGCTTAGCCAGTGATGCCCTCATCCCATGAATGAATAGAGGAAAAAAAAAACTTCCTCTGGAAGTTCATTTCACACATGAGCCACTCTCTATGTAAAAAATTTGCCTGTCATGTCTTTTTTAAATCTTTCTCCTCTCACTTTAAAAATATGCCCTTGGTGTTGAAATCCCTGCGATAGGGTTAGGGTTAGGATTAGCGTTAGGGTTTCCCTGGAGAAAATGCACTTGCCATTCACCTTTTCCATATACCTCATGATTTTATAAATCTCTATAAGATCATCCCTCAACCTCCTACGCTCCAGTAAGAAAATGTACCAACCTATCTAGTATCTCCTTTTGATTCATACCCTCCATTCCTGGCAACACCCTGGTAAATCTTTTCTGAACCCTCTCCAGCTTAATAATATCCTTCCTATAACAGAGTGACCAAAACTGGACACAGTACTCCAGAAGAGGCCTCACCAACATCCTCAACATAACATCCTAGCTCCTGTGCTCAAATGTCTGACCAATGAGAACAAGCATGCTAAATACCTTTTTAACTGCCCTATCAATATATGATGTAAACTTCAAAGAATTATGTACCTGAACCCCTGGTCTCTCTGTTCTACAACACCACCCAAGGCCCTACTTCTAATTGTACAATTCCTGCCCTTTTTGCTTTACCAAAATGCAATACTTCACATTTATTCAAATTAAACTCCATCTGCAAATCTTTAGCCCATTGACCTGATGGATCAAGATCTCTTTGTAATCTTTGATAACTTTCTTCACTGTCCACTACACCAACAATTTTGGTGTCATCTGCAAATGTACCTACCATGCCTTCTGTATTCTCATCCAAATCATTTATATAAATGACCAACAAAAGTGGACCCAGCACTGCTCCCTGTGGAACACCTCTGGTCACAGGCCTCTGGACTGAAAAACGACCCTCTACCACCACTCCCTGTCTCCTGCTGTTATGCTAATTTTGTATCCAATTGGCAAGCTCCCCCTGAAACCCATGTATCTAACTTTACCAATTAGTCTAATTTTTAAGTTACTAATTCTTCTCTCATGTTTGTCTTATAAGTAAATGTTCAGTTGGATTTCTCTGCATTACTACAATGTTAAAAATTCCTTTTCTGTGGAGAGCTGTCAGAGAGAGATGTGTGGAGTCTCAAGGTGGACAGAACATTGTTGTGAGCAATCCTATGAAAACAATGAATTTTAAATATTTCCTTTACTTTTCCTTCAAGTATCTTAGCATGGCAATAGTTTCTAATCCAGAGTAAAAACCAAAAGAACTGCAGATGCTGTAAATCAGGAACAAAATCAAAGTTGCTGGAAAAGCTCAGCAGGTCTGGCAGCATCTGTGAAGGAGAAGACAGAGTTAACGTTTCGGGTCTGATGACCCTTCCTCAGAACTGTTCCTCAGTTCTTCAGTTTCTAATCCAGGCCTGCTAGAATGTTCTTCATCTCCAGCTGACAATTTGTGATGCTTAAGAAGATTATGGTTGGGCTGGGTAATGAGGTGCTGAGTGCTCTCTTAATGCTGAGTCTCGGTTGGTAGTCATGTCAGATACGTGGTATAAATGTCACTCTGAATGCTATAGTCAACACTGAACTGTTCCCTGTAAGTAATCTCATGAGAAAGAGACTCATTAATCAGGAGAACCTTTTTGACCCAGAGGCTGTTTGGAACGTGAAAGATGGAGTGTTTGAGGCAAATACCACAAATGCCCACAGGAGAAAGTTACTATATTGTGTAAGGCTGAAAGGAAGAGAAGGTTAAGCCAAGAATTTGAGGTGAAGTTGGGACTGAATGAACATGTTCAAAGTGTAACCTCCAAAATAGATTAGTTGGGCAGGGACAAAGATGTGGTTGGACAAGGGCAGTGACATATGGGAACGCCACCACCTTACCAGTCATCGTATCATCTTGGATATATTTCAAAGCTCCTACATCAGCACTGGGTCAACATGCTGGAATTCCTGGATTCCCTTCCACACAGACCACTGTGATTGAAGAAGGCAGCTCACCTTCTGATGAATAACTCAGAATTGTCCATCAATGCTGGTCTTATGAGTGAGTGTTGCACCCTGTGAATTAATGGTTATCATTTTAATGAAGTTGGGCTGAATGGCCTGTTCCTGTGTTGTAAGTACTGTGTAATTTTATTTGATTCTATTTATGATTACACATTACAACATCCAAAAATCATGATACCAGCCTTTCAACTAATTCAGTTGGTCTTCATTTTCTCATGTACTTACCTAACTACCCTTGTCTGAGATGCGAAAGCACTGTTTAAGCAATAGTCTACAATGCAACCTTGTAAAATTACTTCAGATTTTTTTCCATGTCTATCTGTAGAATGTGTAAAACATGATGACTGGAAATTATAAGGAGGATAGTGTAGAACTTCAAATAGGCATATAAATTGGTGGAATTGGGAGAGACATAGCAGATGAAATTCAATGTGCAGAAGTGTGAAATGATTCATTTTGGTTGGAATAACATGGAGAGACGACATTTCTACAGCATAAAAACAATACATTTCCAGTTCACTTCAGTTCCAAAGAGGGATCATATTGGACTCAGTGTTTCTTTCCTGCTGGAGCTGCTGGGATTCTCCAGGACTTCCTGTTTATATTTCAGATCTTCATCTTCTGGAGTAATTTGCTTTTATTTAAACTGATGAGGAGGAAGGGAATGGAAGGTTATAATAATACATTAAAGAAGAATATAGTAGGTACCTTGAAGATGATATCCTCAGCATAGGCTATTGGGCTGAATGGTCTGTTGTTGTGCTGTAAACATTGTATAATCCTAATGCAATTGGGCATCCACCTCAGCTATTCTTTCTTCTTTACTGGCTGAAGAATCACAGAGTTAGAAACTACCCTGGGATTGAACATATTGGATGAAAGGAACTGTTGTGACTAATTTAGTTACAATTTTTAATTAGATAAGGACTTCAAGATTTTAATTAGCAAGAAGGAGAAAGGTGATGGGTTTAGAATGTAAATACGACCTGTACCACACAATGTAATGGGCTGAATGGCCTCCTTCAATGCCTCCATTTTGATGATAAGGACAAAGGAATTTCAAAAATGACATATTGTGTTTCTCCTTTCAGTGTTGTAAATACACAAATGAAAAATGGTGCCACTCCGCTCTATTTGGCCAGTCAGGAAGGACACCTGGAGGCTGTTGAATACCTTGTGAAAGAATGTGGAGCAGATCCACATCTCCGGGCCAATGATGGGATGACTGTGCTCCATTCAGCAGCACAGATGGGACATAACACTGTCATTGTATGGCTGGTAAGTTACAGTCTTGGGGCACCAGGCTAGGTTGAGCCACGCAGGACTAATCAATCGCTATAGCTAGAACTGGCCAGGTTTGTCCTGCCTTTAGTTTAGGTGGTACACGTTGTGTATTCTCACAAGCAAAATCATTCAGATGAATTTTCAATCTGTACCATGTTACCCAATTGTTTCTACCAACTACTGGATAGTGCCCTGAACATAAAACACATTCTTTAGCGTTTTCTGGATTGGAAATTGGAATGGAGCCTAGAATGTTGAGATTAGGAACAACTTGAAGGTTTTCATAGGAAGAGAGGTCAGTGGAAAGTCTTAAAGGAGGGAAGTCCAGAGTGTATCGTTCCAGCAGCTGTACCACTGATGATAGGATAAATTATGAAGTTAGAAGATGGACAAAAGGATGAGCTCGAGAAATGGAGTATTGGCAGTTGGTCCTAGAAGGTAGGGATTACCTGATAACCTATGACGTTGCAATGGAAAGGTTTAAAAGAGTAGACAATAATTTGACAGGGGATCTTAAAAAAAAACAAGAGTGTTGAGTGATGATCAAAAGGTTGTTGGGAATTTTCCCTAGGGGTCTTGTGACTACCCACTCTTGTATCAACCCTCTCACTTTTGTTTTGAGTCAACCACCAACCATGCAGTGCACTGCTGTATGTAATCCCTATCAGCCTTGGTAAGCAGAATATGAGAAGACAGCATTTGAGGGGCAAAACACATATTGGGAAGGTGTCTTCTGTTCCATGAGTTGACGTTCCTTTCTTGTGATGTGTTCTATATTGGGCAATAGTTTAAGAGGCGTTCTTTTCCAGGATCATTGCTTTTTCCAAGTTGAGGGGATTATAGGTTGAGAAAGGGTGTTGAGTCGAATAAGTGCTGATCACTGAGAGTGACAGTACAGAAACCAGTAAGTGAACCCCCAACAGACCTCCTTAGAACCGCAACTTACAAAAATGAAAGAACATAATTACTTGCATTCGCATGGTTCACTCAATAACATCTGATTGAATTGAAATTTGAAAGAGCAATACAGAGTATTAAGGGATGACAGGACATTAATTTGTACCCACGACTGGCCAGATATTGGTCAGTGTCTAATTTTGTTGATATCAATGAGGACGGCATCTAGTGAAGCCCAAGAAATTCAGTGCGGAGAGGACAGCTGATCATCACCGCACGTTCCTGTCCCCTGCACTCCAGATCCTGCTTGTGGACGTTGACAAGGGATCTGAAATAAAACAGAAGAACTGTGGGTGCTGTAAGTCAGGAACAAATACAGAAGTTGCTGGAAAAGCTCAGCAGGTCTGGCAGCATGAATGAAGAAAAATCAGAGTTAATATTTCAGGTCCAGTGACCCTTCCTCAGAACACGGGATCTGTTTACCTTGCTACCTGGTTGGGGTTTTGTATGGGAAACAGAAAAGTAAGAGAAAGGTTGTCAATAAAATCACTTTGGAAAAGGAAACATAAAGGAACATTTGCATTTATTAGATTATGCCATGATTACTGAAGGACTAGGTCTAAATTCCAGTGATTGAAGATTAAGGCATGTTTTCTTTAAGAACAGATTAACGAACAAACACAAAATTGTTGTAATTTTGATATACTTCTCCACGTGAGACCGACAAACTGTTTCTGTTTGGATTATTTAACTAGTTTATGTTTCCTCCCACCTTCTGTGTGCAGGTGAGCTTTTCAGACATTAGTCTATCAGACCAGGACGACGAAGGGGCCACAGCTTTGCACTTTGCTGCCAGTCGAGGACATGCCAAGGTTCTCAGCTGGCTATTGCTACACGGAGGTGAGATTGTCACGGACAACTGGGGTGGCACCCCGTTACACGATGCTGCAGAGAACGGGGAACTAGAGGCAAGTTTTGTAACACTGCATCGATTTGAAGTGTGGAAGCATAACTTGCTGCTTCTCAGTTAAACATCGGAGAGTATTTTCTATGAGCTACTGGATAACCATTCCACAACCCCTCCAAGGCCTACAATTTGTGACTATCAGCTCACCACCAGCATAAACCTGACAATGCACAGGGTCTTTGTGTATCTTGGAAGCACTTTGTCCTGTCACTTGGGGGCAACGACACACAATTAATGCTCGCAACATAAAAATTAAAATTGGAACTGGTGCTAAATATTCAGCTGGTACTGGCATTTCCTGACACAGAGGAAGTGAATCAGTGAAACAAAGAATTGTTCTTTCTTTTAATAGCACGGATAGCAGAACATTTTGTACTCCCCTAGGCTTCCCTTCTCTTTAAAGCTCATGTCCTGTGGCTTAAACCAGGTGAGCTCTGCTCATCTGTGTAGTGCTCCTTGTCACCTGACCTGCCGTTTACTTCCTGCTGCTACCTTGTCAGTGACTGTCATCATGTCCCATGGCAACAGGTGCCTAGACCATAATTGGACAGGTTCAAGTTACATAATATTCCTGGTGGACTAACACTTGGGGAATGACTGTTTTCTGGGAACAGATGTCAGAGAATACATTATAAGTAGTTTGACACCATCCAGGACAAAGCAGCCCCCACTTGATTGGCACTACATCCACAAGCATCCACTCCCTCCGCCACCGACACTCAGTAGCGGCACTGTGTACTATCTATAAGATGCACTGCAGAAATTCACCAAAGATCCTCAGACAGCACCTTCCAAACCCACGACCACTTCCATCTAGAAGGACAAGGGCAGCAGCTATATGGGAACGCCACCACCTCCAAGTTTCCCTCCAAGTCACTCACCGTCCTGACTTGGAAATATATTACCATTCCTTCACTGTCACTGGGTCAGAATCCTGGAATTCCCTCCCTAATAGCATTGTGGGTCAACCCACAGCAGGAGGACTGCAGTGGTTCAAGAAGGCAGCTCACCCCCACCTTCTCAAAGGCAACTAGGGATGGGCAAGGAATGCTGGCCAACCAGTGACGCCCACATCCCACAAATGAATAGAAACAAAAATAAAGAACCCAGAGCATTCTGCATCCCTGTAACAGACAGTGAAATGAAGTCTGGTATTGAAAGTGGAAATGAACACTGTTATAAATGCAGTGAATGACATGGCTCTGGATTACATTGTAGTACAAACGTCACTGCAGACTGTGACCCAAAGCATCATGTGACTCGTTTGAATCACATGACACATAAAACACTTCAGTGAATCACATGATTGTAATGCAGTCAGCCAGGTGGACCTCATAGAATATGAGTTCCCTGACTGGGGCTGTTAACCTGTTCCAATTAGGGAGCCCTGGCTGACATATCATCAGGAGTGTCAGAGGTTCTGTTCACTCTGAGAGCTGTCTCTGAGGGAGCTGGATCAGTGTCAAGGACTCTCCATGTGTAAATAAAGGATGACTTGGTGATGGGATACCAGCCTCTGTCAAGGTATTTCACTGATAGTATCTCACTGCAACCTGTCTTGTGACTCAGTGCCCCTGTTTTTGAATCGTGGGGCAAATGTGACCCCAGTATGAATCACTGTCTAGTCATTTCAAATAGGTAAGAGTTAGGCTCCTGTTTTCATCTAAAATGGAACTGCTTTGAGCATGCAGAAGATTCTCTGGGTAGTTTTGGAGAGCAGAGCAAATATGAGGACCTGCAGAGACAGAACCATCTCCAGCCCCATGCTACTACTACAATTTATGTGGCATCATCAAAGTAGTGATAGGTGTTTCATAGGATTACTAAAATTGACACTGAGCCACAAAAAGAGATAGCAGGACAGATAACCAGAAGTTTATTAAAAGAGGTAGGTTTGAAGGAGCATCTTCAGGGAAGAGAGAAGTAGGGAGGCTATTGAAGGCACCCCTAAATCTTCAGGTCCAGGCAGCTGGAGAGATGGTCACCAGTGGTTAGGCAAACTGAGTCAGCAATGCACAGGAGGTGATTAGCTTTGCAAACCCCAGAGGCTGCTGGTGGGCAAAATCCCAATGCCATTGCAGGGTTGTGGACAGCGGATTCTCTCCCCTGTTCTCCCCGGCCAGTGATATTTGATTGGTTGGATTCTTTATTCACCAAGAAAGTCCTATGATGCTCAGAAGATATTGTCAGCCTCCAAATAAAGTATCACCTGTACCCTTTTAATGATCCAGCCATGGTTATATTTGTGTTAGTACCATAGTGGAGTGGGCAGTTGGCAGATATCTGAACCCAAATTGTCATTAACGGCTGATATATGTCACTAAGCAGAGATAGGCCATTCAGCCCATCAGGCGTATTCCACCATTAAATGAGATCATGGCTGATCTGATAACCCTCAACTCCACTTTCCTACTTGTTCCCTATAACCCTTCATTCCTTACTGTTAAAATGTCCGTAAAATCTTGACGTTTAATATACGTAACGACCTGGCTTCGACAGGCCTCTGTGGTAAAGAGTTATAGAGTCATACAGTTGTACAGCACAGGAACAGAGCCTTCGGTCCAAATCATCCATCCCAACCAGATATCCTAAATTAACATAATCCCATTTGCCAGCATTTGGTCCACATCCCTCTAAACCCTTCTTATTTATGTACCCATCCAGATGCCTTTTAAATGTTGTCAGTTGTACCAGCTTCCACCACTTCCTCTGGCAGCTCACACACCTCCCTCTACATGAAAAAGTTGCCCCTTAGGACCCTTTTAAATCTTTCCCCTCTCACCTTAAACCTGTGCCGTCTGGCTTTGGGCTCCCCTACCCTGGAAAAAAGGGTATTCACCCATTCTATGCCCCTCATAATTTTATAAAGTTCTATAAGGGGCATATAAACAATGTCCACTGCTCTGCCTTCATTAGTCTTTTTTGTTACTTTCCACAGATTCATGTCACTGGGAATCCTTCTAAGCAAAAATCAGTGTTCACCACAATTTCTTTAACAATTGGGCTGATGTTGATTAATCAATCTGCCTGCATTTGCTGGGCAATCTTTGAGAATACCCGTGAAGGTGTTATTCAGTCTTTAATCTTTTGTTTTACAAACCATGGACTGATAGCACACATAGACATTCCTTTATATAACACTGTGCATGTGCGCCATATTAGATTAAGAAATACATAGATAAACAGTACATCTTTTTAAAACCACTAGACAGCAAACCACCTTCTGTACTGCAGGACACCACAACATTTAGAGAGAAGATGAGGCAGATCTGAACATGACCATCAAGAAGTCTACTCTTGTATATTTAAAAGACTAGGTTGTAGGAGGAAAGGGAAACAAAGGGAGACTAGCAGTTCCACAAACATGAGTTTCCTGGGAAACTAAGACAAGATGTTGATGAGATATCACAGTGTGGAGCTAGAGGAGCACAGCAGGCCATGCAGCATCAGAGGAGAAGGAAAGCTGACATTTCAGGTTGGGTCTCTTCTTCAGAAAACGGGTCCTGACCCAAAACATCAACTTTCCTGCTCCTCTAATGCTGCCTGGCCTGCTGTGCTCCTCCAGCTCCATGCTGTGTTATCTCTGACTCCAGCATCGTCAGTTTTGACTATCTCCAAGATGGTGATGAGTCTGGATTCAGCATTTTTAAAGGAAGAGTGTATACATTGCTTTATTAGCAGCAGAAAAGGATCAACGGGTGTAAAAAAAGGTTTTTTTCAAGAAAAGAAAAGGAAATAATGGAAAGTTTCTGGTGGAGAGAAGTTAATTAATAATGTGAGAAAGAGCGCATGATAGATGACAAGTTTTAAGGTGTATAAAACAAAAAAAAAATTATGTTCTAACTCAGATACCATAAATAAATATACCAACAATGCATTACAGTATTCGCCATCACTTTGTCATTTTCTATTATGATTGCAATGGCTGCATTCAATGTATGAAATGTAGATTGAAAATGTGCTTTGTATCTTCTGTTGCTGATCTATCAGAGGATTATCAAACAAGGTGTTGTAACCAAAGTGGTGACATCTATTATACTTTTCCACATGGCCAAATTCTTACTATTTCTATTATTTTACCACAGTGTTGTCAAATCCTAGTGGTCAATGGTGTTGATCTGACTGTTCGTGATCGTGATGGTTACACATCTGCAGATCTAGCTGAGTACAATGGACACAGTCAATGTGCCAAGTACCTCAAGACTGTTGAGAACATGGTAAGCCAAATACAGGAGAGAACTGTTCACAGGGATTTATTTACAAGGGAGTTATTGTGATCAGTGTCACAAAAAAGGGCAGTTCCGGTTTGGAGGACAAATCTGTTGTCCCTCCTTTGTTTCTTATTTTCCTCCAAATAGCAGTAACTTGTATTTAGGTGCAATTTCCAAAACACAGAAGCCTGTTCAATATCTGACTCAACCGTCCATCCTTGAAGTTTGAAATTGCTGATTTAACTTTAAATAATCCGGATGAGATCTTGTTCTGTTTTGAGTGTTCACACTGTGATAAAAAGTGTTTAATGTTTGTCTTATCATTCGGCATTTAATATAGAGTTCTGTGAAGGTGTGATAACAAGATGTAGAGCTGGATGAACACAACAGGCCAAGCAGCATCAGAGGAGCAGGAAAGCTGACGTTTCAGGCCTAGACCCTTCTTCAGTTCTGAACAAGGGTCTAGGCCCGAAACATCAGCTTTCCTGCTCCTTTGATGCTGCTT